TGTGTTCATTTCATATTGATGGTAGATAATGGAGTTGTCACTTGAAATTTCCTTATCATCTATTTTTCGTTGCAGCGTCAATATTATCTGTCGGTTCTCTTATGTTGGTAATTTTATCATTATTCATATTGAGAACGCAGTGCATGACATCACCGAATATTAACAACCTAACACTGATCGACACCGCAGTAATACTACTAGGAACAAGTTTACGTTCTCTATCCTACACAGCAATAAGACCTTCTCGTGATAATCGACTGCGAATAATATTATTGATTTAAATATTACTCGTCTTCAGTTTTCCTTTATGATTTTGAAATATAACAAGTTAGTTTGGGTCAACGTTGAGAAGATGGAGTATGTCAGATAATTCACCATTCATCTGCCGTGTTGCTCGCTTGATAAAACCTTCGGATGGTGCTTGTTGAGGTTTGGTTTTAACTGATCGTCCGTAAATATCTACCATTATATGATTAGCGATTATTTAATGTATATTCATGTACAACTTTATAAGATGGTTTCATTGATCTTGATAAAGCATCAACTACTGCTAGTGCTTCACTGCCACATATGAGTGGATCCGTTATTTTTTGTGTTGGCAGCGTTGAATACCAGATTGGAATATTTTGAAATCTGGCGATATATTTAACAAATTCTACAGGTGGCTCTAACCAATAAGAATTAAAATAAATAATTCCACGTGGATTAATGGCGTATGCGACCCAGTGAGTGCAAGGTCCAGTTGATGAATCAAGATTAATAATACATGTTCCTGACAGATTTTCAGTTTTGGTAATTTGACATGCATACAAAAAAACCTATAATTTTTTTATACGCAATCGCTCGGCAGCCTCGAGTAAGTCAAAATTGGACATCGGAAAAAGCAGCGAGTTCCTGGAATTTTTAATTCTTATCCACATACCTTGACCTAGTCGTTCTTTTTTCAATCCTTTTCATGTTGCTTTCTTCCGAGCGATTTCAGCAGCTGTCACAACTGCAACTAATGCAGCAACCCTCGGAAAGATTTAATCTTATTCCTTTATTGGCATATTTAACTTCGTTGAATCTCTCAAACTGACGCTAGACCAGCAACAATTTATTTGCACTAGACATTTGTTCGTGTTTTCATGACATTTTTGTTCCACGATCGTGATGCCGTCCACGATGGTATTGATTTAATCTGACACAGGGTCAGACTTACACTGACATGATGATATAACATTTATGATATATTTCTTACTTCTAACTGTGATGCGGTCATCACAGAGTTATGCCAGTGCTTTCGTGTTATCTACTGGAGCATAAATGACTCTAATGTGACAACCAGCACATTCCATGAGCATTGTTTTATCGGATAAAATAATGGCGACTGCCCTGTATGGATCATTATTTCCTCTGTTAACACGAGCTCGAAAATGTATGTAAACGACGAACGGTTTAAACAAATCTAAATATTCCAGGGAAAAAGTAATAAATCGGATATAGAGTTGTAAAATCCAATTGTAATATTTTTGTAAATCATTATCGATATTTTGATCGTGTCCCATAAACGCTATCAGACGATGATACACGTGATACATGATTTAGTTTAAGGCCAAGCATCGCCGTGGCAACTTCAACATCTTTTAGAATCGATTCAATATTTGTTTCGTCGACCATGTAAATAGCACTTTCAAACAACGCCATGATACCGTTGTTAACAAAACTAACACTGATATCAGCTCACTATTCGGTATTGTCTGATTTTTAAATTTCACCTTCTACTTCAGTAAATGCATCAGCGGGCAAGATATATCTACTTGTAACTTGAACTTTTAATTCATTTCGCTAACGTTGATTTGGATGTCGTGCGTCGTAAGAATAATATTGATAATCACGCGCGGATTCGTCTTAGAGAACTGGCTCATCCATGTCAAATGCGGGATCGGATTTCCGTTCAAACATCGTTTATGATATTGATCATTGTCTAATACGAAGGCCACTTTGAGTCATCCCGCTGCCTGTTATCAGACTTGCTGCTACATTTTCCCCGCTCTTCGGCTAACTCTACTAGTTTTGATTTGTGGCTTGATTTATTATTTTACTAACACTTGCTGGCATAACCCCAGTGCTGGCTAACTTTACTGGCTGAGGTTGGACCGCTCGCGGTCTGCGTATTAATCGTGCTAGTCTATGCTTGATTGCTGAAAATGTTTTGCTAGCAACGTCGCCAGTAGCACTAATACCTTTTTCACGAATAACGTCAATAGCTTTCATGCCTAATTACTTTGCAATCGGTATTGCTTTCGGGGCTATCCTCGAAAATAAACCCTTAACAACAACACTGAGTCATCTTCATAAGTTTCTCGTATACAGGTAATCTTGAATTTACCACCCTGACCATGGTTAGTCCACGCTGAGTAGCGTGTATAATCATCTGTTATAATAATTATATCTAACTGTTTAATCTGTGACTTATTCACTATGGTAAACATCGATAATTTCATTAATGAGAGACTGATACACGTCAACGTTCACCATGTCAGCAGTAAATAATCGTTGGTAAATGGATGTGATTTCGACAATAATTTCAGAAGAATTATTACCAGCTCGTTTTCCACCAACCAGAACTTCTAATCGGTCTATGTCAACAAGGACGGTTTTGACCAACAAGACCACTTCCAATTGTTGTATGAAAAGCTTCTCCAGTTGCATATGAAACCTCTTGATCTTCTTCTAATTCCTGAATTATTGGTTGAATAATTGTTCGTGGTGAATACTCATGTCGTAATTCTCTAGCACGAATAAATTCTTTATTATTGTATTATTCATACTTAGGATCCTTTTGTCGAACAAATCTAAGATTTTCTTACAGGATATATTCATCTATAACATTTTCATAATCAATTACTTCCTGAATATATTCTAGTTTTAAAAAATCATTTTTATATATAAAAAAAACTTCTCGCAGCAACCTCATGCTAATCTTCTATTTTAACATCTTGAATCGATGGATCTTGGATAAAATTTATTGATCATATTGGTCTTAATTCTTCATTTTCTTAATTCTGGTTGTGGTTGTATTTTTTCGCTTACTTCACCGACCTCATCATAAGTTTGGTCAATTCATTGGAGTATTTTTAAAATGGCTGAACCTCAGCTATTTCGGCATTTATTTCACGTAGAATTATTTAAGTTCATTCCGCTATTTCTTTAGTTTGTTTAGGTTTCTCCTCTAACACAGGAACTATACATTTAGTGGTTTCAATAATAGGCTTAAATAATTGTTCTGCACACTCTGCAAATTCTTCTTGTTTTTGTTAGCGCTCTTGTAATCCTTGTCTGAGAGAATCACGGACAGTAAGACATTTCTTAATTGATTCTGGTGTCGCTATCAAGCTAGCCTCGCTGAGTGCACTTGACCAATTATTATCCATATAACGCAATGGTTTAATTACAGCAACAGGGAGGGTGGGCTAACAAAATTTCATGCACAATCACATAAACATTCAATCACAAAATTTTATAAACACAAGCGTCAACAGCGAAGTAACAGTGCGAACTAACACTAGGGAGAGAATCTCGAAATCTTAGAGGTTTCAGTTTGATGTCATTGACCATTTTTAAATTTTTATCATGTGAATCATTATTTTTAGATGAGTCTGCTCCAATCCAATTTGTAGGGTTCACTCTACCTGCTGGTCTTCTCGAATACTTACCCAGTCATGATACCTTAAGAGAACTACTGTATATTACCTCAAAATCCCTCCCCGCAGTTAAATCCAGATAGGGAGAGACCTTGCACTCCAGTAATAACTGTGATATTCAATTGATTTTCAATTCCTGTATCAAGAGAAGATAACTCTCTCAGACCACCAGATAACTTTTAATTCTTAACTTTAAACTAAAACGTTTCATATGGGAGGGCTGCATTTGCGTAGTAGTAGTAGTAGTAGTAGTAGTAGTAGTAGTAGTAGTAATAGTAGTAGTAGTAGTAGTAGTAGTAGTAGTAGTTCTCCTTTCGTATTCTAATTAGGTAACGTATTTAAAGAAGAAATTGTAGTACAAACTAAAGAAGTTATCGTTTGGCTATAGTATATTATGAATTGCACCCCACCTCCAGTTTCCTAAAATGTTTGCTTAGACCAGTTAATTCCTTTAAGCCTTATAAATTTCAAAGCAAACTTTGATTTATCTGCACATTACAGTTTGATAATTTTTCTCGATTACAAAAAATGACCACTTGTATTCAGTGCCGGATTTAGGACAAATGAGGCCCTGTGCTAGTTTAGTTATGAGGCCCCTTACACGGGCCCTTAAGGAGGTAGACTCGGTATACCTACAGAGGTAGTATACTCAGGAAATATAGGAATAGTTAAAATAGCCACAGACTTGAGAAAAATTCATTGCAATTTTTTTTTTTGCAGCCCTGGCCAAAATGTGCCTGCGCTTAAGTACACCTAAGTACAATGGTAAATCCGGCCCTGCTTTTTTAGGAAGAGACCACACACCATCTCCAGAACCATACAATCATCGAAGGAACTAATGGATTCTGTTTTAAGTACTTAAGCCGCGGGAAGTGATACAATCTCTCGTGACTAAAGTGCTTAATGCAGAGCAAATCGAACATCTACTTCGCATCAGCATATAAGAGAAGAAATTAGTGTAGGTGTACAATTGTCTTCCATTCAAAGAAAACTTAAAATGGAAGTCTTCTTTTTGCACAAAATGATCAATATAAAATTAAGAGTATAGTAACCACCCTTTGTGAAGAGACGGAAAATGAATTCAGATTTATAACTCCACGAGTCCAAATAAAATCAACAGAGTTTTCAAGGAACGGTCAAAGAATATAACGGTTATCCATCATATAGTTCAAAGACTAAAGGTCCTATGGTTCTAATAAAGTCTTCATGACATAAGTTACAACAATATAGATGTTAACTATGCCCACAAGCTGTACATGTGATTAATGTTACGCATATGCAAATTTCTAAAGTAGTCATGACTGGTCCTTCCACCACTCCGGTGGCCTATTAGTAGAGCTTCCACCTCCAATGCGGAAGGTCGCGGGTTCAAACCCCGGGCGAGTCATACCAAAGACTTTAAAAATAGTACTAACAGCTTTTTCGCTTGGCGCTCAGCATTAAGAAGTTAGTGTTATGACTTTTCAGCCTGGTGTCAGGATAATGTCACTTAGAGGTACATCATACCAATTGTCTGCAGCATGATGCCCCAGTGGTACACATTACTATAAACTATCACACTGCAGACATCGTAGCGATATAACTGAAAAGTTTTTATAACTACATTAAAAATCTAAATCACACATACGTACACACAAACACACACATTACCTTCACTCAGAATGGGTAAACTTACTTTAGACTTAGACTTAGTTCCTCCTGCATCATTCGGTGCGTTGGTCAGCGCGTGCTCTCCATCGAGGTTGATTTGTCGCATTGGTTTCAGCGTCATCCAATGGTATGCCCAGCACGATGTAGTTAGGGGAAGGCCTTGTTTCCGTCTTCCCCGTGACATGCACAAGATGAAGTTTCTTGAATGCATGAGATTGGTTGCCGGTGTATCTGGCCTGCAAAACGTAGCCGGCGCTCTGTCGTTGAGAGGGCGGGAGCCGGTTTGCTGGTGCATTTCTGATGCAATCCTTGCATGAGATTTGCAGGATTCGACGGAATAATTGTTTTTTATCGACCTTTAGCCTCCTTGCAATCCAGGCCGACATTTTTCAAGTTTCACATCCATAGATTGCAGTCGGGACGACGATAATATTAAGTAGCCGGATATTTGTTGCTCACTAATTTGTACGTTGGCTCAGATTGGTCGAAACCGTTAAAAGACTGTCCCTGCCTTCTCTATTCTACATCGTGGTAGGCGCCACCATTGTTGGCTAGAGTGATAATAGGTAGGTGAATTTCTCTACCTCCTCAAGTTTTTGATGACCAATCTTCATGGTGTCACTTGTTGTGGTATATCTGGTCTTCATAATCTTTGTCTTATTCATGCTTATCCTAAGTCTAACTGTGTCCGCTTCACTTTCCAGGCTCATTGTCATTTCTTCCGCTTTCTTATTCGTGGCGCCAAGGAGTGCAATGTCATCCGTGAAATCAAGGTCAGTTAGTCGGTTTGGTTTCATCCATAGAATTCCAAATCATATCGGTCCATGGCCTTCTTTATAATGAAGTCGATCACCATAAGGAAGAGGACAGGAGACATGATAAATCCCTATCTGACGCCAGTTTTAATGGCAAAGAAGTATGTGGTGCCATCTTCCGTCCGGACATAGCAACTTGAGTCGAGGTAGAGGTTTGTAAAGACCTCAACAAATCGTTCCGGGATGCCGTACAACCCCGATATGTCCCTAAGCGACTCCCGATGTATGCTGTCGAAGGCCTTGATAAAATCGACAAAGTTGATAATGAGCCATTGATGTTGTTCCAGGCTCTGCTCAGTGATGTTTCTCAGGATGAATATTTGTTCACTGCATAATTGGTCGCGACGAAAGCCAACCTGCTCTCCTCGGAGCTTCGATTCAGCAGCCTCTTTTAGTTTCTGCTGCAGTACAATACTACACAGTGTGATATCCTCGCCAGTTGGTACAGTCCGCCAGGTTTACTTTCTTTGGACGTTTGACTGTGACTCCCTTGCGCAGTTCTTTGGGTATTCGTGTCATCAACCAACATGAGTTTAGAATATCTGTCAGTTCGTCATTATATATAGGCGTAGCTGGATACCATGGAAATATTGTTTTTATTTTTCGAATATTGCATAACCCCTGACAAATTTATTGCGCAAGAGAAAGAAATTTCTTTTGACTGAAAAATGTTCGGAGGCTTTTGACAAGTTGAAGGCCGTAATTAAATGTGCACTAGTTCTCACGGCTCCAAATTTCAGTCAATCTTTTTAACTATTTGTTGATGCAAGTTAGTTTGAGTTAGAGCATTATTAATTCAAGAAGATAGGAATGGTTTTGTTGATCCGGTGTCCTATTTTGCTGAGAAATTAAATAAATGCCAACGAAACTACTCAACAATCGAGAAAGAATTTTATTTTGGCATTACAACATTTTGAAGCTTACCTTAGTTCAGTTCGATTCCTGGTTGCTGTGTTTAGTGATCACAATCCCATTAATTTTATCTACAAGATGAAAAATAAAAAACGAAGATTAATATCGTGGAGTTTGTCATTACAGGAATATAATCTTCACGATTATATATTTTATTTTTATTTTATTACATGGTATTTACATTTTTCCAGAAATTTCAGTTCAGTTCTTTTTAGCCTGATTTAAACGCAAAAGTGTTTCTACATTGTATTTTTATTTGACCAAGATGATCCTGATCTTGATTCAGAACTTGTATGCATAGAGTAAAAATAATAGGTCCTAATCAAGGCCATATTTTGCTTCCGTGTCGGCTCTGTTGTAAACAACTATTATTATTGAATCTTTTAGTAAAGATTTGTTCAGTAGAATCAATACATCGTTTAGTTTGTACAGAAAGACGTGAGCAAAGAAGATGAATATTCCACAATCTTCATTTTGAGAAGCATCCTTATGTTTGAGAATAAAATGATGTAATTATTATCATTGTATAAAAAATACATGAGGAACTCAGTCGCAGTCTTCATCATCAAATGATGCTCGTGGCAAACACAGGGGCTGTCATACCTTTTTATTAACTACTCTCCTTTTTGTTCAGGACTGGTAAAAATTCATTTTATTTGCAAGGATAATGTACAGAAAAAGAATTTGTATTCACTTTTTCAAAGTTTTATTCAAAATCTACATCTACTTCCCACTATCTGGATTATTCATAACTATCAGGTGCATTTCATTTTCAACACATACAGACTCCATATTGCCATACACCACATACAGACGCCATACTTCCATACACCACATGCAGACTCCATACTGCCATACACCACAAACAGACTCAATGCTGCCATTTACTGCATACAGACGCCATACATCCAAACACTGCATACAGACTCATGATGATATACACTGCATACAGGCTCCATACTGCCATACACAACATACAGACTCTATACTGTCATACACTGCATACAAACTCCATACTGCCATACACCACATACAGACTCCATACTGCCATACACTGCATACAAACTCCATACTGCCATACACTGTATGCAGACTCCATACTACCATACACTGCATACAGACTCATACTGCCATACACTGCATCAAAGTCTGTGAATAAAAAGGTATGTAATTGTTTTGATTATAAATTATTCTTTCACACACTCACTGCTAACCTTTGCTTGATACTTAACTGAAACAATGGGGCATTAATGTTACCATTAGTTGTGGTCATCTCTTCACCCTTCCACCTGTACAGCATCGGAGTAAATCTACCACCAAAGCAGATTTGTCTGAGTTTACCAGAAAGTTTGTTGCTGATGTTGAGCTAAGTGAACATATTATTTTCGAGTATCAAAATGGTAAACTTAAAACGTCTAATGTTGACATTTAAGATCTTATTGTCAAGATCAGAGGCAACTTTATCGTCAAGTAACCTGTTTGAGATTAATGAAAAACAGTAAATCAGAGACTATAAAGGACCCACGTAAAAAAATCACTGGAGAGGAATAAAAGAAATCATAAATAAAACTGCATTGATTGTAAATTCGCTGGTAGATTCTATTTATGGTCTTGCCGTAGCTATTGGACTTGTGTGGCTTGAATCACAAGCACAGCATTCATTGTAGGTTTACCAATCGGAATTATTGTGTGAGGTATATCAACAGTAACCATGGTCTCTGATGGTGCCATAAATTAAATTTGTTACTATTAAATTCATTATACAGAGCTGCTTATAATCTCAACACGATAAGCACTCCGCTTTCCGTGGTTATCAAAAATAAATTAATTAGAATTTCCCAAATTCGAGACCATGTTGGCGGAAATGAAAAACATTATCACTGACAACCCCAAGCTCAAATAAGAAACCAGGCGGTTGCGGATTTAAAAATAATAATTCGAGTAAAACACTATTCACTAGTCCCAAAACAATGTTACATTATTACAGCATATAATGAAATAAAATTCTAAGTGTTACGTGTCTAGGCTAGTACAAAAGAAGCAAAGAAAAAATTGAACCAACAAGCTTTGTAAATTTAACAAAACAATTAAATTCCCTTAAAAAAAAAACACACGGTAAAAATATAAAAGGGCTAACTATTTGTCAATGAAATCCAAAAATTTAAAAAATTTGTCATGTCACTAAAAGTTCTAAATGAATCAAACTTCGAATCCCGATGATATTCCAAGATAGAAGGCGATGACGTCCTCCATAACCTGTTGGGTTTTTTTTTTTTTTTTTGCTGTCGTGTTAAAATACAGGTCGGCTGTCACTTTCGCCATAAACAAACTTGATTCTACTGAACGAATCTATAAGACTGAATAAAAATTTTAAGAGTTGTTCATAGAGAATTAACACACAGGCCAAATATGATCCTGATTACGACCAATGATTTTCACAATGGGAAATAAATTTTTAAAAATCGTTTACGAGTTCTGAATTACGATCTGAAACTTGGTCAGTTAAAAATACAAAGTAGCAATACTCGTTATTTACCAGATCAAAAGAGAACCGAACTTTCCGAAAAAAATGTCGGATCCAGTAAATAAAGTTATCCTTATATCAACATGTAATAAAATAAAAAGACAATAAAAGGAATTTTAAACAAACACGGAAGTAATTAAATTATATATATATATATATATATATATATATATATATATATATATATATATATATATATATATATATATATATATATATATATATATATATATATATATATATATATATATATATATATATATATATATATACGTAACACTTCCCCCATAAAGTAAAAGAAAGATTTATATAATAAAGCTTTCGTTTCCCATTTGTTAATTATAATGAGGTAAAACAAGATATCATAACAAAAATTCTTATGAATAATACAGAGTATACATGAAATTAATCCTTCTGTATACGGGATAGTGCGTCTGCTATTAAATTGTCTTTTCCCTTCCTGTCTCAATATTGTATTCCTCTAAC